AACATCAGCATGAGGGCACACAGAATCACACAGAATCACAGAATGTTAGGGATTGGAAGGGTCCTCGAAAGATCATCTAGTCCAATCCCCCTGCTGGAGCAGGAACCTAAATGACATCACACAGGAAGGCGTCCAGGCAGGTCTTGAATGTCTCCAGAGAAGGAGACTCCACAACCTCCCTGGGCAGCCTGTTCCAGGGCTCTGTCACCCTCACTGTAAAGAAGTTTTTTCTCAAGTTTAAGCGGAACCTCCTGTGTTCCAGCTTACACCCATTGCTCCTTGTCCTGTCATTGGGCATCACTGAGAAGAACCTGGCTCCATTCTCATGACACAACCCTGTGAAGACTAGGTTCACTGGCTCTACCTCTTTCCTTCAGTAGCAGTGATATGATCTGAAGTGACAATAATGAGGATTTATTACTGGAATCTCTAGATTGAATATATTGCTAAAAAAATCTTTTGAAAAATGGCATGAATTGGCTGTAGTGGGAAGATGGCAAGCCATTTGTGAGGAGAGGTCCCATTGGCACTGATGTTTTCACACTTAACAAGAATATAAAGGACCATATTGTGCATTCGGTCTGTGTGCACAGTTTGAGGCCATTTGTTGGCTGGGCAGAAGACAGCCTGCATAGTTGGATATTTAAACTCTTGTGTACAATGTTGTTATGATGTCCAAGGAGTAAAAGACAGTTTTACTCACCATGCTGACTTGATCCCTGGTTTTGGAGGCTTTTAAAATCACATAATCCAGAACTGCTTGATTTTTATTAGAAGGCAAATTTTGGGTACACCTTTTAGAAGAGAAAAGCCCTCTGATTTATTCCTTCACTGCTTGTACAGAATGTGGATTTGCCTTTGACAAAGATTTTCCTTTGTATTCAGGTACATGCTTTTGCACTTAATCCAAAGCCAAAGCAAATATCAAACAATATGAACCAGATGAATCTAGCAGAAGGCAATAGATATTCTTTTCTAGAGTTAGTGTGAAAGATTATGAAGTTCATCATGTTATTCAGATAAAGTTTCTCTTTAAAAGTTAAAATGTTTCAGGATTTTCTTCCTTTGAAGAATTAATGTAAGTACTGGATTCATAATGTAGTTCTTGAACATACACAGTTAGTTTCTGTTTGGGTGGATTAGTTTTGGTTTCTTGTTATTCTGATTAATGAAATATCGGACATCGTAGCTAAGCATAATGAGGTCATGTAAGTTAAACCATATTAAGGAGCCTTTTGAGGCAAGGAAAAACTAAAAAGGAAAAAGAAGATTCTTCCCACAACTAAAGCTGAGAAAAAAATAATTTTTAAAGGATATTGTTTGAGGTGGTTTAACCACTTTATCAGACATTCACGTGGGAACAGAGAAAAAAAGGAGTAAGGGAAAAAGCTGCATATTTATTTAATTCAGAGCGTGGTAAATTATAATGGATGTTGCATAGGCTCAGATATCAGGTGTCTGACTAACAGTCATGAAAGCAGCATAATTCAGACTGAACTTTATTCTCCTCCATTATGCCCAGCTGTTGGAAAGAAGCAAGGCATGTGTGCAGAGTCTCCAGATGTTTGATGATCATGCGCAACAATAGGAGCAAAGTAGGGAGATTTACTATTTTTTTGATTTTTTTTTTCCAGATTCTGAATTCAGTTCTTCAGCATGTTTTTTGGAATTTTTGTGATTTATTTACTTTTAATGCGATTTCCTCAACATTTATGTATTTCTCATTTCTTCTTAGATGTCTTGTTGTTCCCCTTTTTTCTTTTGAATAAGAAGAAAAGAGGGTGAAAGTGGTGGCAAACTATGTGTCATTTAATTATGCTTTCTGACAGTGTAATGAGGTAGGCATTGTCCCCAAGAAGGGGCTGCACTACAGAGAGATTTCTGGGGTCTCTTGCGAAATTTCTGGCAGAATTAAAAAGAGACCTGGGGATTCTGGTGGCAGCCTAGCACAGCACAGGTGACACGTGGATCTGGAGGTGAGAAGATGACTGAATGGGAAGTTTGGTTCTGACTTCCCACTTTAAAGTGGTTGAAAAATTTACAAGTCATTTTTTTACAAGTTTTACAATTTATTCATCTTACAAATTGTTTTTTCATTAAAAACACATTTTTTATGTTAAATATGAATTTAATTATTCTCAGTAAGTAGATGGATATTGCTAGTCAAACAGTTCTGGTTTATTTGATTACTCAGATGAGTCAGATGGTTTTATTTCTGTTTCCATTTTATAAATCCTTCAACACCAGTAATCACATATGACAATCTTAAAATTATTTTTTTTATTTTAGTAAAATTCAGATACATAAAATTACTTTGAAACCAGCACAAGACAGTCACAGGTGTGGCTAAACTGCGCTTCTTTAAACAACTTCATTGTTTAAAGATTTATGAATAAGGCACTTGCCTTTACTAAGCTCCTTTGTAGTCTGAATTCTCTGTGCCTTCTTTAAGTGCTACATGTTAATATTAGATATGTTTGTTCTGGTGGAAGGTGAAATACAAAGAGCAGTTCAGTAAGGAAATGAAGAGCCACCAATACAATCCTCTTGACAGTGCTTCCTTCAAGCACGCACAGATTGCATCCACCTTGGCAAGTGATGTAAGTGAATTTGTTTTGTATTTTACATGCATTTATATCCTGAAAAACCTAACTTTTTCTCAAGCAGATTTTTTTTTCCCATCTTACAAATTAACAAATTAACATTGTGTCTGTGTAGCAGGTACAGCACGTTATCCATTTCTTCCCCTGCTTCTGACAAAGCCCTTCTCCAAGGGCCTGCAGAGTTTTTCATAACCATTTTAGATGATATTCATCTCGCTTAACTTTGCATGTCAAAAAGTATGACTGATTATTCTGAGCTAATCACCTTGTACTCGGTCCTCTTGTATTCAGGAAAGAAATAAACAGGTCTAGAGGGCGGTTCTTCTCACCTGTTGTAGATGCTTGTCTTTAGAGGAGCAAAGTGCTAGCATGTCTCCAGGAGGTTGCATGAGCAGCTCAGATTTGGATGTCTATCTGGAGACTTCATTCTACTGGTTATCTTCTTAATGGTATTAATAAGTACAGCAGTCAACTAAATTCAACAATGGGTGCCTGGTGCTGGAGCCAGATTAGAGAAAACATCTATGTTGAGTGATAGTGCTGTTGGGATGATATATTTAACAGTGTCTCTAATGCTAAAAATATGAGCTCTTCTTTAAGGCCATGATCCCTGATAGCCAAGAGACAAGCCTTCATTCTGTAGTCTGGTGTTTCCAAACTGTGGATAGAAAGTTATCTTTTGCCTTAGGTGACTATATGGCTTATTTATGCTGAAAACAATCTGTATTAAATAAAATATCCAGGAGCACTTCCCTTTAACTGTTTTATATACAATTTTTTTATTTGGACAGTTAGTGTAATTCCTGAACCAAGAGAAAAAAAAAAAACAAGAATCAAGAGTATTTAAAATAACTAAACTCAAAGTATTGAAGAAGATACTCTTGATTTAAGTTTTCAAGGGGGGGGGAGGGAGGAGATAGAAAGAGAATAAGAGAAATAATAATTCCTTTCTAGTCTGAAAAGTCATACGAAGTGTGATTTTGTTGTAAGTGGCCTTTTTGAGAAGAAGTTTGAATAGTTTCCAAATACTTGCTTAGTAGCATGAATCCTTTATTGATGTTTCCTTTTCCTCCAAATAATAGTAAAATACCACCATCTAGTGGCTGATAGAGATTGTTCAGGCGAGCACTTAACGCTTTCTGTTTCTGGACAGCCACACTATAATATGAAGCTATCAATTATTTTGTTAATCTTTGTTTTACATAACCTGAATTCTCTTTCCAGGTGAATTACAAGAAAGATTTAGAAAGCCTACATGATCCAGCCTCTGATCTACCAAACCTACTATATTTAAACCATGCTTTAAATATCAGCAAAACACATAGCGATGTAAGTTGCCTTTATAAGAATGATCTGAAAAATATATGTAGTAAGGACTGTATTATGTATAGTCACTGTAGAATACATAACTTTTTTGGTATTTTCTTCATGGTCTCATATGTGGTAGGCTGTAGTGTCTTAACCATAGTAGTTGGGGGATGTAGTGAAGAAGAAGGGGCTTTCAGAGAGAGGTATTTCATTTATTACAACTGATTTACTGGGTAAGAATCACACAGACTTCTGGTGCTTGAGCATGTCTTATATGTCTGCAGCCTTGTCTGTTTTTTCTTTGTTGACCTAAGATATTTCTTGCAAATCTTGTTTTGTCTAAGATCTTACTTATTGCTTTCACCTGCAGGTGTCTGTACAAAAGTGACCATTATGCTAGTTTGATATTTGGACCTCTGCCATAAAAAGCCTCTCAAGTGCTAGCTTGCCTGTCTAAGCCTTTTTTCCCTCCTAAATCTCTGAGGCTTCCTACACTGGATCAGGTAGTAGGCACATACTCCATTCTGCCATGTAACAAGACATGGCCCTTGGTGGGGCTGGTAGTCCGACAGAGGATAGTGATGGGGGTTGAAACGGGGAAGAAGAGGTAGGAAACCTGGCTTCTGTGCAGTGCTAAAGCTTCTCTCCCACTCCAAAAGCACCTGTGTTACATGCATGGTGCTTGTATGCAGTTCAGCTGCATGTGTCATCTTTACTCCAGAGGCCACAGAAGGGCCGCAGCGCTGCTGTGGGAAGGCGTGAGTGGGTGGTGTTGGAAGGAAGATTGCTCATGGTCAGCAGGAGATGAGCGCTTTGCACACAAAGGGTTATCCCTAATGACTGGTAGCATATTGAGTCATCTTCTGAGTCAGTGCCTGCTTATGGAAGCTTATGTCTAAAATAATCAAAATAATCTAGCTTTCCCATCTGTACTTGATTTTTGTGTTGCTCTTTGGGGAATTGAAGCTTGCTTTTTGTCTGTCTTACTCCAATATGTGAATATAACACTGACTATCCCCTTTTGTATGGGTAATAAATTAATTGATAGCTTTCACTTCCTGCATTCTTCGTGTGCATTTTGACCTAATCCTAGTTTCCTTCAGTGTAAAGTAAGATTGGCATTCTTTTTGCTGGTTAAATGAACACCCTCAGAGTTAACTTCATCAATTTGTCATTTTGTCATCTCTCTAATGAGATAGAAACCTAGACTTTCTCTTAAGGCTCCTCACTTCTTGCATAATTTCTTTCTTTCTGTTGCCTAGGAGGGTTTGATTCATATTGTTTATGTGCTTTCTGAGGACTCCATAAATACCAAGTCTCTGATTTTTGCATTGTCCAGATGCTGGTGGATGATTTTTCTTTCTGCAGGAAGAAGAATGCTTTCTCAGTCCCTAAGGTCTCCATTAACTATATGTCCTCTATAGAAATCCCATGTTCAAAATCCTTCTCAGATTTGACTTCCTCATGTCATCTCATTGATTTTAACATGGCTTACTCTCATTCTCCATGCTTTTCCAGTTCCACCTTTGTGTTCTCTTCCCTGCCTCTCCACAGCACCAAATCTTTCTCAAAGTCTGCTTCTACTGTATGAAACAGTCTTCTGACTGTGCCATTAACTGATTTACAAAGACTGATTGCATGGTCTATTTTTATCCTCTGAAACAGAGCTTCTTGCTAATTGCCTAATTTTACTGTTTCCCTGTAGTATACCTTTCTCCCTTGAACTTTATGCTTCCCTTCATCTTTTGCAGAACATAACTACACCTGCTCCAGTATGATACATTGTAACCTATGTGGTTAATTGAACTCATAACTAATATGACTGAATTGGTTTGCTGATGGACCTAGAGTGTAGAAGTGTGGGCAACTTTATGAAACACATATACTATAACACCAATGCAAAGCTGTTATACAAGTCAGCTTCCATGCGAATAAATTCCAACAGTTAAGAGGAAAGCTTGATGGGCATGTTTGGACACAGATAGACCGATTTTGACAGTCATACTATTTTCATTATTTTGATGAAGAATAGAGTTCACAAGAGGGAACTTCGCTCTTGTGTGGTATACATGTAATTCTCTTTGGCATGAACTATGGAGACATAAAATTTAAAACTTTGATATATGTACAACAGCTAGTTTATTATTTTGTACATTTTATTTTGTAGAGACTTTGAGATGCTAAAGAACTACAAGCTAAAAAAAAAAGAAACTTAGATTTTTTTTTTATTTTATGAAACAGGGTGAATAAAAACATAAGAGACTGAATCTGGTGCCTGTGGGTTAGTGTAGCAAAAAGTTATGTGGTTTAACTAATTTGATTTTATAGATTTTTTTTTTTCGAAATTTTGTTGAATTAGTTGAGGAATGGAGTAAAAGTATGAAGTCAGTATCTGTAGATGGAGATAATTTTATTTTGTTTCCACTACAGAAGTGATTTTGTTGTGTGGCATTTATAATTATTTCCACTAGGAGGCAAACCCATACCATTATATGTGTTCCTTTGAACTTCAAATGTAAATAATAATGTTTATTTTCTAGCAAACATAAGCATTTGCCTTTTGGATAATTGGGACAGGCATATTCTCTAGGAACTTACAAAAGTTTGTTTTTATTTTATACCTTTTTTCATTTCATTGCAATATTTTAAATTCAAATTTAGCAATATAACTCCTAGGGGAAGCCTAAAATATAGTTTATTTTATGGGGTTTCTCCCATAGTTATTTTAAATGGTATTTAAATTGCAAAACCTTCTAGATTTTGTTTGTGAAAACATTCTTGGGTATTTTTTGTTTCAGTATGAATATAAGAAATCATTTAAGCAAAGCAAGGGCTTCTATCATTTCACCCTGGATACAGCTGAACAAATCCATCACAAAGAAAATGCAGTGCTTCAAAGTCAGGTATACGCAATTATAAGTACACCTTGCAATGAGAAAAATGCATCATTCTAACAGTGATTAAATCAGGCACAAAACTGCATGACAGATTACAGTGATGTACAGTGCATATTCAATCAGAAGCACCCCATGAGGAAAGAGGAGAGTGGTTTTACAGAACCCAAACCTAGTGTAGAAGCTTGACAGGGAAAGTTAAGAGTTTATTAACTTTTCTCTCAAATTCAGACATCACTGTTTTTGAAGACACAAATAAATTAAAATGACTTTGCTGATTCTGAATATCATATTTTGATCTGTAGCTATTTGCTTTCCTTTATGGCTTGTGTAGAATATTCCACCATACCCCACACCGATTGAAATAAGTAATGCGTTTGCCCATCTTAATCAAAAGAGTGTGAATGAATGAGTTCAAAAGGCTTCTCCAGGTTTCCAAACAAAGCATATTTGCTTTGTGAGTTAACATGAAGTTATATGTTGGTGTCTTAAACCTGTATCCTTCAATGTGATTTTGCTGCTAGCTTTAAGGTCATGGTCATGGGTAGCTGTGAGGGGAATGTTGGTGCAAGACTGGACCCTACTGAGGCAGTAGTTTTCCTTCCCTTTTCCCTCCCACAGGTACAAACAAAAGTGCATTTCAGAATGGTGCTCCTGAGCCTGAAAGAGAGACCTGTGGGGCCTGACTGTGAAGCAGATTTTATTGTTGTTACAGTAAATGTGTTGTTTAATGGAAACATGACGGGCTCCTATTGAAAAACTGCCAACTGTGCAGATACAGATCATTCAGCCAAAATCATGCAATTAGTTTAAGGATTGTGATTGATGCTCCTCACTCTTGCTGTCTTCAAAGTTCACCATTTTTAAGTCTGACATTTTGAAGCAAAGGAATAAATGACTCCAGAAAAAATTTCCCTGTCTAGCTGCCCTCTTTCTCCGACAGGTTAAATTTGGGAGGAGTCTTCCAAGTCAAAACCTCAAAGGAGTATGGCTAAGACAGGATTTGTCTGTCACTGTGATAAGCAATCAGATCTCACATTCTCTCAGCTGTTACAGCCTTTGTTTTATTTTCCTAGATAAAATACAAAGAGAATTATGAAAAATCTAAAGGCAGATCAATGCTGGAGTTTGTGGATACACCAATGTATCAAGTTTCAAAGGAGGCTCAAAAGATGCAAAGTGAGGTTAGTAAAAATGTGTGCTTGAACTATTAAAATTTAGATCAACAGAGAAGCTAACAGACATCTTGTACTCAGGTTAAGAAAATGGATGAAGCAGAGCGTAAAGGTTTTATAAATTGAGGATATGGCAGAATTAGTATTGAGTAGTTTACTATTCTGTAGCTCAGTTCTTCCTTCAAATTTGTTTTTTCTCAAAAGGTTGTTGATGCTAACACTAGACAGAGATTGTATGTAGCATCATTTAATTGAGAAGAAGCTCAAGAGGTCATCTAGATCAGAGATTACTAACTTTTTAACCTTTTGTCTGTAATTCTGTTTTTAATGAGGGAGGGTTCTCAGGTGGGAGCGAGTGAAGCCACAAAGTCCAGTCTGACCCCATGCCTTAACTGCAACATGCTCCTGCCTGTTCAGCATGGGGAACTCAGCAAGGGGGAAGGACTATTCCCAGGCTCCAGAACAGCCCTGGATATCCTATGTCAGGCCATATATTTCTAACTTTTTATTAAAAACTTCCAATGATGGAGGTTTAGTGACCTCCCAGGAAATCTAGTCCAGTGGTATACCATCCATCCCGAGAGAGGTATTTCCCTGTGTCTCCCTTGCTGCAGTTTGATTCTATTATTTTTACTGTGTGTCATTGAAAACAGATTATTTTTTCTGAGGGTAAGGCTGTGGATGTTGTCTACGTGGACCTTAGCAAGGCCTTTGACACTGTCTCCCACAGTGTTCTCCTAGAGAAGCTGGCAGCTCAAGGCTCGGACAGGTGTACTGTTTGCTGGATAAAAAACTGTCTGGATGGCTGAGCCCAGAGGGTTTTGGTAAATGGAGCTAAATCGACTTGGCAGCTGGGCACAAGTGGTGTTCCCCAGGGCTCAGTTGTGGAACCAGCTCTGTTTAATATCTTTATCAATGATCTGGATGAGGGGATTGAGTGCACCCTCAATAAGTTTGCAGGTGACACCAAGCTGGGCGGGAGTGTTGATCTGCTTGAGGGTAGGAAGGGTCTACAGAGGGATCTGGACAGGCTGGATCGATGGGCTAAGGCCAATTGTATGAGGTTTAACAAGGCCAAGTGCCGGGTCCTGCACTTGGGTCACAGCAACCCCATGCAATGCTACAGACTTGGGGAAGAGTGGCTGGAAAGCTGCCTGGTAGAAAAGGACCTGAGGGTACTGTTTGACAGCTGGCTGAACATGAGCAAGCAGTGTGCTCAGGCAGCCAAGAAGGCTGACAGCATCCTGGCCTGTATCAGGAATAGTGT